TCCTAGTCTGAGCGGGAGCAGCTCACCCAGGATGAATAATGCAAGACCTTTGGACACATGCAGCTCTGAGGTTTTTGTTTTTGTTTTTGGTCCCCCAAACATTCCCTCATGATATCATATATTACAAAATGTTGAATTTCTAAAAGCCATTCAGACAATGGCTATTTTGAAAGCAGATTCCAGACTGGCAGAACTCTTCTGCTGCCTGGCAATGGGAATGACATGCTGATGCCACAACTCCCAGTTCCAAAATACAGGCGAAAAGTCTCTGTAGAGAGCTGCCATGAGTGCCATCCTCTCAACACTGCCCTGCCTGCACAATGGCATCTGTGCCATGCATTCTATCCCACTTTGCTCAAAGTTATTTCATGAGTTGGGATGCGCAGGCCCCTGCGGAGGATACAGGGACTCACTGGGGTCCTGTAGAATCTCTATCCTGTCATAGCAGAAACAGCAGGACTTGAAGTGAAGGTGTAGGTGGTGGTGGTGCTATGGAGCTGCAAGTTGTCCCATGCAATGCAGGATATATACATGGTAGAGTCATGTCAAGTTTGCTGCCTTCCCACAACTGCCTGATATTTGTCTGCTGGTCTGTATATGTCCAAAACTGGGACAAGGAAGAATGGTAGATTGACATGTAAGCTGGTGATATTTCTGGGCTGTGGCGGACTTGACCCAGCTTCCCACACTGAGGTCTGTATTGTGCCTGCTGTGAAGTGGAGGATCCTGACCACAGCTTCCCCTCGGGATGGCTCCCCAGTCCTACTCAGGCTTGCATTTGCCCTCACAAATCGCCTGGAGGCATGTACTTGCTTTTCTTGGCTTGTGGCCCTCTGGAGCTTATAGGATGGAAAAACAACAAACCCAATAGAAATGTGAAATAACTTGGACAACTGATATCTCTGGAAAGCCATGCAAAACAGTGGCGGCTGTCCAGGGGGGGGGGGGGGAAACTCTTGAGGTGTGTCAGCAGGTGGTGAATTTCATTTACCTAATGGTAGAGCAGCCCGACAACGTCTACATTGGCTCGGGCATGTCGTGAGAATGGCTGACAGTCAGACTCCAAAATATCTCCTATATGGAGAATTAGTGGAGGGAAAGCTCCCCCTCGCTGGGTATCTTTAAGAATCAATTAAAAACATGGCTGTTTCAGCAGGCCTTCCCATCAGATAATCCCTGATGCCCCTTAACACCTTTTTCCCTCTCTTATTGTTCCTCCCACCTTGTGTAATGTCTTACCATCTAATAATTGTTTTATATATTAATTTTATTGTATTATTTATGTTGTTAGCCGCCTAGAGTGGTCCTGACCCAACCAGATAGGCGGGATATAAATAAAATAAATAATAAATAATAATAATAAAAGTGCCCCAGAGGGAGACCACAGCTGCGATACAAGGACATTTGCAAGTGGGATCTGAAGGCCTTAGGAATGGACCTCAACAGATGGGAAACCTTGGCATCTGAGCGTTCATCCTGAAGGCAGGCGGTGCATCATGGCATTTCCCAATTTGAAGAGATCCTTGTTCAGCAAGCCGAGGTGAAGAGGCACTGCAAAACCAGCAAAATCAGGGAGCTGGACAGGGGACAGATTGCATTTGTCTTCAGCATGGAAAGGATGGTCACTTATGTGTTGGCCTTCTCAGTCACACTAGACGCTGTTCCAAGACCTCTATTCAGAGCATGTTACCATGGTCTCTCAAGGCTGAATGATGCCTGCAGAGCAGCCGTGCAAACAAGAAAAGCTCAAGCAAAATGTGCATACCCTGCTGGTTTGAATGGTTGCCCTCTCTGCAGTTTGCCACCAAAGTTCAATGGCATGATTTGCTACAAAAACTGGGAAGCTATGGAGGTGGTTATAGGTATATGTAGCTGCCACTGGATCCCAATGAGTTGAACTGTCTCTGGACCTCCTGAAGCTATGGGCCTTCTGTCTGTGGTCTTCTGATCGTGACAGCAGAATCTTGTACTGTGGCTTCTCCCACCTATGACAGAAACTAACCCATGCTTTATTGTCGGTTTATGTCCCAATTCCTGGCTTATCATGATGTGGAAATGTGGCCAGTGACAAGTATGTTAATAGTGACTGCTGAGAAAACACCACTGATGACAACACAAACATCCTGGCATCAGGGAGTTATGAACATCTGTAGTTCAACACAACAGAAATCAACCCTCTCAAATTTTTCCCCAGCCTTCTCCAGTTCTCTTCATCGTTTCCTTTAAATCATACACCAAAATGTTCTGAAGGCTTAAACTGAAGCATTTGTGCTGCATTCTTTCACTTCTCCTCTAATGTAATATAATAAATGCTGCTTCAAATGGTGTAAAATGATGCCACAAGGGACTGAAGTGTAGAACAGTCTGCAGTTCCTAATATAACTGATCTCAAAATGGCGGCTGTCTTAGGTTACAATTCTCTGACCGTGTCCCCAGAACTGCTTTACAAATACCCATTCACAGAAAGTGTTGGTGTCTGTCTACTGTTATTATGGGCATTAAGGCCATTCCCGGAGGAGGCTGCATTTCACATGTCCCGGAAAAGGCTTTTGGTATGAACAGACAGACTGCAGTTCTTCTGAGCCGCCAGGCCAAGGTTGTGGCAGTGTGGCTAAACTCTAATTTGAGTTGGTGGTTTTAAATTACAGTGCTACACTGCGGAAGTAAACGCCAAACCCTGGTTGACAGGATGTGTGAAAATCGAAAGTGGCTGCAAATTACCCAGCAACCAAAGAACCAGGAGAGCTTCCATTTGGAATATCTTACTTTATGTCTCCCAAAAGAAGAATAAATTTTATTATGAAGGTTATCACTTAGGTCTTACGTCTGTGCCCCGACCACTTTGTAAAAAGTACTCACCCAGTGTTCATTGCCAGTTTTCTTTTTTTGGGGGGGTGTTAACAAGGGCCTGTGGATACATTGCCTTATGGATGGCCCCCTGCCTTAGATTTGTTAATTTGTATCATACCAGCAAAAGGAAACACTAGGCTAAAGTCCATGGAGGAGGATGTAAATTGTGCCTTGTCTGAATGTCCATTTAGGGAGCACGCTATGTGAAAACCCCAAGGGGCTTTGCCTTTTGCCTAAGGATGAGTCCAGACAAAGGGTTCACAGGCCCACTACTAAAAACTCATTGGGCAATGATTCTACCACTTCCTCTTTTAATGGTTTCTCGGTGCTTGGAATAAAAGATACAAACCGCAGTGGGAAAACTGTGGGCAGTTACAAAAGGGGGGGGGCAGTTACTTCTGTACATGTCCGTCAACTTCACAAATGAGTCAGAGTAATTTTCACAATAAAATCCTCACCCAGAAGCAACCTTTTCTGCAAAATGCCAAGTGTTAGCAAGCAGTGTTGGTGGTGCTTTGTGTTTTATGCCAAAAATTGGCAGATGCAACAACAAAGGTCTGGTTTGCTGGTCGTTCTGTGTGACCTTAACAATGCAGGTGTGCCAGTTGAGGAGGTTCGGATTTACAGTAGATTAAACCCATCTTTCCCCTCTTTTCTGTGTCTGATCTGCCTTAGGAAGTGATCAAGTGTTGTGGATGTTCGTTCGCTTGGACGTTCGTTTGGCTGGCTCCCCGATGCCCCAGTAGATGCTGGTCACCAACGACAGCATCCTTTTGTAACTGGCGGACCAAGAATCCTTCGAGATCTCCTGAAAACATGTCCCAGTTTATCCTTCGGCTGATTTTGTGGCAGGTTCCCTACCGAACGTCACTTGGCCAGTATCTGTCTAAAAGGAGAATCAACTGAAACTTGTTCTAAGGACCATCTTGTCCGTTGCACCTCCCAAAGCAGTCCCCTGAACCCACGGGTCAGGTATCAAGACACCAAAATGAAACGGTAAGGAAATAACAGCCATGCCCCCAAAGGAAGCAGAAAATGCCCTACGTGGCCCGAGCTTTCCTTCTCGAGACGCACACGGAGGCTGGAAATAGAACTGCTCGAAGAAGGTCAGATGATATTTTGGTTCTCAAAAAGCACACGCTGGGAGCAACGCAGGAAGAGCGAAATGCTGCAGACCGCAGACGCACTTCCCTGTTGAGGAGGGGCGAAGGAGGGCAGGATCGCTGCGATCCACAAAACAATAGATTGTGCCCAAGGTTGGGAGCCGCAGCAAAAAACGCGGGGTGGAGGGGATCGCTTTGGAAAAACAAAAACAAAAACAAAACCCCACAAAACCGCAGGAATGCCGTCCATGCAACTGGGTTGCAAATATATACTGTACACGCCATTCACATAGGAAACAGTACCTGTCGAGAGAAGTTCGAAATTCTCTCTCTCTCTCTTTCTCAGCAATTATAATGTCAGGCTTCTCCTGACAGATAATGTGACCTTGACCAGGCGAGGGAGGCAGAGAAGGGGGAAGGAAAGAAACAAAAGGGAAGGCGGAGGGGAAAACGGGCCGCGGGCAAGAGAATTCCACCCACATCCTTAAAGGAAATTCTCAAGCTGGGAAGACGGACAACTTTCGCCTGGCAAGTTGAGACCGGCTCTCCGGGGAGTTCCCCTTCGGGAGGGGGGAGGAGGAGGAGGAAAGAGGAAGCGAGATCTCCCCTGCCCGACTCGAGAGAGACGCGCTGTTTTCAACGCTCCGAGAAGCTCCGCCCCCCCTGCCCTTCAGCGTCCCCCCCCCTTTCTCGCCCGGTGCACCTCTCCCGATGCTTTCCGCCTGTCAAAGTCACCGGGTCGAGCCCAAGGCGCTCGCTCGCGAACTGGATCTTCTGGTTGAGCCTCTCCGCTTCCTGCCCTCTCCCGGACGCGCTGGGGGGATCCGATGACATCACTGGCTGAGCTCTCTCTCTCTCTCTC